GAAACCCTTCCCGGTTGTTAACCACTATAAGAAACTTATAAAAGCATTCGTAAAGTTTTATGACTAAAAACATGATCAGTTATTCCTTTCAGTAAATGATAGCACCATTTTTCATGGGATATTGATCAGTATCATTAGAAGATTGTTCAGCATCATCGGAGAACCTTAGTGTCAATTGCTGGAGTAAAATATAAAGTATTAAAATTGAGGCCTGGTACTTGTTTTATACAATCTATCGATCAATGATGATGCCTTAATGTAGGAATTAATGGGATCGTCCCTATTCATTAGAGTCGTTTTTCAACTGAATCTTAAGGGATATGTTTATATGATCGAGTTTCATTTTTAAGCTAAAAATATGATCTAAAAACCTTATCCCAATTCGGCACGTTCAACGTTTAATTTGAATTAATCATCGTTAAATATGAAGTCGCCCACCTTGAAAAGGGTAATAATGAATAATTATGATATTCCTGTTCTAAAGCATTATCTTTATATGATACGTAATAGTTCTATTTAAGTGTTTCTATTATTGAAATAATGATCTCCCAATTCATATTTATATATTTTGATTCTCCTACTAACGAAAGTCCGCACATATGAACCTCCCAAAGACTGATTATACTATATGATTTGTATTCTAAAGCCAACATCAGCCCATAGAGTTTTATGTCTCACGTGCATTACATATTTGTCAAAAGCCCTATTGTTATTCACAAAGCATTGTTACTAGGAGTGATTTATGGAATAAATCTAACCTAAAAGGTGGAGTCTTTTGCATCAGAGAACATTTGTTCAAGAATCATAAGTATTTTTTTGTAGGTATGCATAACTTTTAGAAATATCCTACCATATAGATTTATATATTGAGTGAGGCTCGTATTGCCATGGGAGGACTTTAGTCTAATAAATAAAGCTTAAATGTCCTACTCATTAGTTTTAATGCCTTACCAGTTTAATTAAATCATTAAAACTTTCTTATTTTATAGTTTACCTTCAAATAAATAGCCGAAGTATATTATTCTAGCTTCAAAAGGCTAGTTGATTATTTTTAACTCTTTTACTTATTCTAGTTTAAGCAAATTTTATTCTCTACTTAAATACTGCAAACATATAACATAGAAGAAAGACGGATCACGTCGAAGATGATACAGTTGTTCGAGCTCGGGGGTTGCCATGGCAAGCAACTGACGCAGACATACAGAGCTTCTTCAGTGGGATTAACATCGCACCAGGAGGAATTGCCTTGGCGCTCAGCAGAATCGGCCGGCGGAATGGCGAAGCTCTCATTCGTTTGACAGATGGAGATCAACGGAATCTAGCTCTACGAAAACACAAACATCATATGGGCCAACGCTACATCGAAATATATACGGCTTTAGGCCGTGATTTTATAACCGTTGCTGGAGGTAAGTAGTATGAGTGGATACTTCACCGCTATTACCATGTTAATCTGCATATGTAAATAATTTATTGATATAAAAATACGCTCTAGATAGTCATCCGAAAACTTTTAAGTTGGAATCATGTCAAGTGGGATATTGCTTAAACAAGGAAACCGTTTATATAAGTGAGTTGACCTCGTTGTCGCAAATTGGTCTTGTTGTCAGGGCGACTCAGTAGAACGCACATAGTCCAAAATCCTTTGCCATAAAAGTGGTTATTATAATTCCCAGCATCAGACAGTGGGCTTGGTACATTCTCAAACGTTTCGCCCGCATCGTAGTCGCATCATCAGTGAATGATGTTAGTCTCCACACCAAATTACGGACTCGTCCAACAACGTTCTGCCGAAAACGGTCACACTATCACTCCACTTTTTGTCCTGGCCTATCTATCTACTCTTTATCCTCTTATCCAACTCCCGCCCTATCACAACTACTCACTTGTTTACATTTTACTCGTCAAAATGTGGGCTAGTTTTTGGCAAATCTAGTGTGGCCTCATCATACCTGCCATTCACCCCGACCCCCTCTCCTTCGATCGGCTAATCCGATTTAACCTCCAATCCGGATCCCCCTCATGGTCCCGTAGATCCGTTCCTTTTCTTTCTGGTCGACCGATTTTACTCAGTTTCAGTCCCATTGTGCGTTTCACTCCAGGCGTTATTTCTCAAAGCCCTATTAGCACGAACACTGCCACCTCACCGAGCATATCGCCTAGGATCTGATTGCCATGCTTGCAGATCTGTGGTTCTGTCTCGTAGAATATATTTCATCCACATATGATATACTAAACAAAGACCCAACTATGAAGATTAACCAACTCTTGAAAGATATGCATAGGAATTGGGAAATTGACGCACGGACAAGAAATTCAATCATAAGAAAGGATGCACGACAACCAACAGCATACGGATTACCGAAGATACACAAAGAAGGGGAGCCACTAAGGCTGATAGTCAACAACAAGTATGGAGCAACACAGAAATTGGCAAAGGTTATATGATTGAAACTCAAGAAATTAAATGAGAGGCTATCAAACATGGTGAAACATTCATATGAATTTTATCAAAAAATCAAAAGCATGACACTGAAAGAAACGGACTTTTTGGTAAGTTTCGATGTAGAATTAATGTATACAAATATCTATGGAGAAAATGCATTAACGGCCCTGCTAGAAATCGTGTACCGAGAGGAGGATATCCTAGAATCACATCGGATCAGGAGGGAGTCATTAACAAGACTAATTAACTTGACAATAAGGAGAAACTATTTTACATTCAACGTTAACATCTATGAACAAATATTTGGACTTCCCATGGGATCGCCGTTCTCACCACTTTTGGCAAACTTATACATGAACAAAAATGAAAATCACTTCAATATGGCACCGCTACAACCGACAGTGCTCATGCGATACCTGGAGCGGTGAGCGGTTACCGTTCCTGGATGGTAAAGTGATTAGCTCTAATGTGACACTCAAAAAGAAATTGTTTAGAAAGAAGTATCATGCCGGGATTATGCTCAATTTTCGGTCCCATCTTAGTTACAGGCTAAAGTTAGGAATAATGAGGAGCCTGATCATCTGAAGCCTACGCCAAACGGATGAAGAATTCTTGGATGAGGAGCTTGACAAATTGGCTAGGATATCGCTCGGCAATGGCTATCCAATCAAGGTGATAGAAAGAAACATACAGGCAGTGAAAAGTTGATGGCAAAACGGGGACTAGGAAAGAACAGTAAGGATGATGAAGGATTCATAATAGTGAATATGCCTACCTTTTTGCGAACTAACTCAAAAACTATGACCAATATTGAGAAAATGGAATACTAGGGTGGCCACGAAAGAAAGCTCAATAGGGTTAAAAATTAGCATAAGAATCAAGGAACAACAAAGGCTCTGGAGGAAAATAGATACCGAAAGATCGGAAATAGCGAAACACATTGCACTGACTGGACACGAGAACAATTAGAAGGCAACAGAAAGAAGGGCCTCATACGGTGAAAACACAAGGAAGCACAAGATTAGGGAGGCCATTTACATCATTGAGGAGAAAAATCTGATGAACAGGAGATAGGAGAAAGGTAGAGTTAGTGATAACTTTGCCTACTGCTTAAGCAAACTCGGGGAAACAAGAATAAAGCAAGAGCAGCAAAGGGTAGACACCTGGATCAGCGATCTGCCGCTAACCGGAGGAAAAGGGATCGCGATTAGGAAAGGTGGAGGCGGGGAATTTCAGCAAATAAAATAAACCAGTACAACTTTGGGGGCCTGGAACTCAGGGAGCTAGGCGGACGGATAAGCAAACCGTCACATAAATTCGAGGTTATGGCCTAAATGTACCAGAATACACTCGAGAGGCCGCATGCGACCAGAAGGGAAGGCCTGATATCTGCAAGCATGGGAATCAGAGCCTAGGCGCTCTGCTCGGTGAGGCGGTAGTGTACGTACTTCTAGGGCCTTGAAAAATAACGCCTGGTGTGAAACACACACTGGGACTAGAACCGGGTGAAATAAATCAACCAAAAAGATAAGGAACGGATCTACGAGACAATGAGGGGATCCGAGTTGGAGGCCCAAGTCGGATCAGCAGACCGAAAGAGAGGGGATCGGGGTGAATAGCAGGTGGGATGAGGCCATACTATATTTTCAGCAAAAGGGCACACGTTTTGACGAGTGGAATATTAACAATTGAGAAGTTATGATAAGAGTGTAAAGTGTAGATAGATAGGCCAGAAAATAAAGAGGTGTGATAGTGATTGACTTCACTTGTTTCTTTGACGAGTTTGTAGCTTGGTGCGGAGAATGGCAAAACTCACTGATAATGCCGACTACGATACCAGCGAAACGTCTGAGAATGTACCCAGCCCACTGTCTGATCCTGCGACTTATGATAACCGCTATTATGGCAAAGGACTTCGGACTTGGTGCGTTC